CAAGTACCACAACATCATGAGAAAACTTGATCTTAGTTAAATGATGAACAAGAACAAGACGACTTTGGGTTTGTTGTGTGAGTGCATATAAACGATGTTGTGGATCTCGAGGTGATAATGGACAATAAACACCACCAGCCATCTCAATTCCCATAATACCAATCACCTAATCAAAATCAATCTCAAACTGACAATAATTGTTACTCATCCTAATTAACTTACCATTGACAAACTTCGCTCAACACACTGACACACGATCATACCTGGAATGACATGATATTCATTAAGAAGAGTTAAAGATAACACTTGAACATAATATAAAAGTTCACAATATGTTAATGATTGTTCATCTAGTTCCACTGCTAGTTTCTGTGGGTGTTGCATGACTTGATATACAAACTCATGATAAATACAAGTGATCGAAGGAAATGAGATTTGTGTATTATTCATTGATTGCATAAGTAATCTTTCATCGGGCATTACTAATGATAGTTCATAGATGGATTGATTTGTTTGATCATGAGCAGATGTAAACAATTGTTTGCAGATAGAATGAAATCGTTGTCCAATCTTCTCAATTGTATTTCGATTAAACAAATCAAGTGATCCATTGATTGTGCATGATAGTTGATTAGTTTTCGAATTATGTTGCATACTGAGAGAAAAATCAAAGTTGCTCATGATTTTCTCGTCATCACTCCTGATTGAGGTCATTGACATGGTACGAAGTCGACTATCATCGAACAGTACTTTATTCTCAACATTTTCATTTGACAGAAACTCGAATAATATGTCGAGAAATGAAGGCTTTGAAGCATTGGAATGTTGGGCAAGAATACGTTTAAGAGGAAAGTAAGAATACTTCATAGTGTTTGTTATTATCTCATGAGTATGCTCCATGAGCCGTCGGAAAGACCAATGAGGATCTAATTGACATCGTAATGGAACGATATTTTCGAACAAATCAGTCATTGTTTTGAATTCGTCTTTATGTTGACTATCGGTATTAACTGCAACACATAAATCCGTCTCTCCATTTGTTAACTTGAATATAAAAGCATAATAAATGGCAAATACAAGATATTCAAGTTTTATATTCATCGATGATGCATAATGAAGAAAATGATGTGAGAGATCTTCACCGAAATCGACGGAAACATATATTCCACGACCAGTTCCATCTTCATCCACAAGACGATATCGATCAAATGGTAATGGTAGAGATCGATCAAGCTTATAACCATGGAGAACATCAAGCCAAAACATACTAGCATCGGTCATTGACATTTGTTGCTCAATTATAGCAGCTAAATAAAAAAAACAAGAAATAGTATGCGACAGAAGAAAAACATCTAGCAGATTCATCTTTACAATCAACATATATCCTCACAGAATAGTTCCTAATCAATCACATAAATTCATTTGTTGTAAATGATCGCTCTATTCGATGAGATTTCGATATGCAATGGTCAAAAAACATGATCCACTCATTTTATTGGCTTTCAAGCATTATTCGTAAAATAAATATGCCAAAATTTCGGTTAGGTGCGTTTTATACGGCAAAATGCATCAAGCCTGA